GGAATGATCATTTGGAATGATCATTCGGAGTGACCATGTGAAGCGATCATGTGAAATGATCATGTGAAGCGATCATGAAATGATCGTTTGTGATTATGAAAATATCTAATCACAACAATATAATAAATGCAAAAAAAAAGTCAAGATATTTCAAGAACTTTTTGTTGTGTATATTGAATAATATTCTTGAAGTCTGATTTTCTTGCTCAAAAAGATGCTATTAAGAAGTTAATTGAAAATACAAGATATAAATATATTTTTTTTCTAAGTTTTACTGTGAATTAAATTTTATTGAAAGATATTGGAAAGCTGTTAAATAATATTCACATGAAAATTATGATTATTTATGATAGTGATTACAAAAAATAGTTACTGAAAGTCTTAATTCAATACTTTTAATAATTATTAGAAAGTTTTTAAGAAAATATTAGTACTATATGAATCTTTATAGAAAAGGTATTAACAAAAAATTGGTAAAATATATGCTAAAAAAATACTGATCTTACAGAAGAATTCTGAAAAATATTTTTGAGAAGTTAAATAATTAGATAAAGAATAAATATTATAATATAATGTCAGATTTAATGAATTAATAAATATACTTATATTATATAAAGATTATTATTTTAAAATTTTGAATTAATTTGCATTTTTGATGAGTATAAATATTATATATTATATAGCTAAAAAGAGAATAAGAATGCAAAATACTCATACTGTCTCTTCTAATAATGAGTATTTCTTTAGTATATCTTGAAATTACTATATTTCACACTATTTATTCTTTGATAGTGAAGCTATAAGTTAGTTGATATTCAAGTTATTTCTTAATAATTATTAATTTTAAGTTTGTATCATATATAGTTAAAATTTAAAAGTAATAATTTGGATAAAACTTTATTGTTAAAAAAATTATAAATTAATAAATATATAATATATTTTCAAGAAATTTTAACCATCCTAATATTTTTATATAATGCTAATTTTTTTGTCATCCATTCATATATTTTTTTATAGCTAATCTATTTATAAATCTATAAATATTATTTTCACTTATATAAATCTTATAGAAAACTTTTATATTTATCAAGTTCTATAAGAAAAATATAATACTGCATCAAATAAAAGAATTTTTATGAAACTAGAAAAAATATATAGTAAAATTAATATATAAATACTTTTTTAAATTTTTGTTTCATTTGATTTATGATAATTTTGATATAAAGCTAAGTTTCATTAACTTGTTTCAAAAAGTTATAAAAAATTTAATTATATATATTTAATTTATACTTTAATAATTCTTTGAACTTGTGTACAATATATAAAATTTTATTAGCTAAAAAAATATAAATAAAAATAAATTCAATAAAGATAAATAAACAATTATAACTCTATCTATTTTATCTAGATCACAATTATCAAAAATATTTAAATTAATTTTACTTTTATGTATTTGATCTAATAAAAATTAAATATTCTAAATTATTTTCTATATTTAAACTAGCAAAAAAATAAAATATTAATATTTCATATTTTGAACTATTTTTTATATTTAATTTAATAAAAAATGATAAAAATTAAAATAAAATTAATAGTTTAAACTATTTTCTAAACAAATTTTTAATAAATAGATTTATTTATCAGTATTTTAAATATTTCAGATTATAGTCAAATCTCTCTATAATCATACCTCTCTATAGTCATCCTATTTTGCTTTTCCATTTACATATAAATATAATAAAAAAACCTCTCTATAGTTATATTCTCTCTATAGTTACCAAATTTTACTTTTCTGAGGGTGATGACTATAGAGGGGTTTGATTGTATATATATAATAAAATAAACTTTAATTAAAATAAAATTAATATAGTTATTCAATTAATTTTGAAAAAATTAAATTATTAATAATATTATAAAATATATTAAAATAAAATTATATTTATTTAATAAATTTATTTTATTTAAAAAAATTTTTAAACAAAATAAAATTTTAAATAATTTATAATTTAGTTATTATATTATTAATTATTTTAATTTTATTATATATATATTCTAGATTATTTCATATATTTAATTTAATAAAATCAAATTTTGAATTATTTTCTATACTTAATTTAATAAAAACTAAAATAATTAAATATTTTGAACTATTTTTATAAAAACCAACTAAAAATTGATATTAAGATTTTTATTAGATTTTTATCAGAATCTTTTTTAGATTTTTTTTTTAGATTAAATATTATTATTTCAAAAATATTTAATCAGATTTAAGTCTAACAGATTAAATTTTCCAAAAAATTTCTTGAATTTTAAAATATTTCTAAAAATTCTAAAAAAAATACTATTTTTTTACAAATTTTATTATATAAATTAAGAATCATAATATTATAAATTAGATTTTATTATTTAAAAATATCAAATTTTTATTGAATAATTATATTTTTTATTTCAATAATTATTTCATTTTGCAATTTGATTAATAATTAGAAAAATCATCAAGTTTTTTTAATTAAATTCTTTAATAATTGATTTTTTTTAATTATTTAGTTTTTTAATAAAGTTAATAAACAAATATTATATTAATACAATTTTTTTTAATTAATTCAATTAAAATATTATTTAAATTTATTTAATTAATATAATTTCTTGACTTTTGTTATAAACTTATATTTATTATTATTTATTAATTAATAATCTCTTGTTATTATTGTGAAGTTATCTTAGTTTATTTATAACTTTTCATTTTAATTGTGAAATTATATTTGTTAGTTTATCATAATCTCTTGTTTTAATTGCAAAATCATGTTGAATTAATTTAATAAAAAAAATAATTAATATTTTACTTGTTTATAAAACTATTTATAAAAAGTTATAATTATATTTATCTTTGTTAAAAAAACATTTTTAAGCTTATTTTAGCTACTCAACAAAATAAATATATATTATCTATTTTTAGAAATAGTTTTATCTCTTCCACTTATAATTTCAATTATTTTTTTTACCTAACTTGAAATTATATAAGATATATTATATATTTGAAAGTTATAAAATCATATAAAATAATAACAATAAAAACAATATAAATTATATTATAAATTATAATATAATTTATACTGTTTCTATTACGCTCAGTCTATATATTGTAATATAAATCTAAATAATCTATCTTTGAATTAAGATATATAATTAGATTGTTTTATTTTACTTTATAACTAAAATAAGCATAGAATTTTATATTTAGCTTTAGTTATATATCCTTTATAGTGGTTATTTAAGCTATTCTCTATGTGAAATTTGTTATAAGATTTATTACAAGTTTCTCTTTATAACTTGAAAATATTAAATATTATTTCGTTTGATGATCACATTATTGGGTACTATAGAATGAAAAGCATGACCCTTGATCATACACATTGTTTCAAAATTAAACCTTCCACATATATACTATAAATTATTTATTTATTATCAAGAAACTTTGACTCGGAAAAAAATAACCACCAGAAATAATATCAAAAAATATGGCTGAGAAACCTATTGTTAAGAATGTTGACATGAATGAAGAAATGCAGCAAGAGGCCATTGAATGTGCTCAAGCAGCCTTGGAGAAATATAATATTGAAAAAGACATTGCCGCCTACATCAAGCGAGAATTTGACAAAAAACACGGAGTAACTTGGCATTGTATTGTTGGTCGAAACTTTGGCAGTTATGTAACACACGGTAAGTATTTTATTTTATCAAAGATAATTACTTTGTATGTTCGTTAAGTTTTAATATTGTACATCGGGATATTCTTAGAGACCAAACATTTCATTTACTTTTACATCGGACAAATTGCCATTCTCTTGTTTAAGTCTGGATGATATAAAGTGTGTTAATAGACCTACTCTAGAAAACCCTTGATGATTTTACTGAACGTTAGAGAATTATTTCCAATATTATCAAAATCCTAAATCCAAAATCATAATACTTTTTGTCTTAAATAATGACAACAAATAATATGTAGTTAATGTTCATTAATTGTTATTTTCTAACTTTTATATTTGTTTACTCAAGTAAGTGTAAATTATAAAATTTTTACTCATTTTCACTCAAAGAAATTCTTTAAGCATATAGCGAATCTTTTATTATCTTTGAAGAAAAAAACATTTAATCCTTGTAAATCATTAATTCAAAAAATATTTTTCATTTAGAAAGCGAAATATTTTGATCAAATTGTATTAATATTTCTACATATATGAATCAAACAGAAAAAAAGGAATAATCAAATCGAAATTTGTTTAAAGTTATTATATTCAAACATCCAAAGTATAAATTTGAATCTTTAATTTTGTCCCGTTGAATGAGGTTTTCCTTCAGCTGTATCCTTGAGTTTCTGTGCTTCCGCTTTTTTCATTTGTTCGTTCAATTTCGTATATCTATCCATATACATTGTCTCTAATCGTTTAGGACGACTCTTCCATCCTGCTAAGCGTCTAAACATCATTGCTGTTCTCTCGATTCGCTCCGCTTGAGATGAATGCTCTAAATTATCAACAGGCGGTGGATATTTAAAATCAGCCCTTAATGTGACTATTGCTTTTTTATATTTCGCTTTGTAATGTAACCTCCCTCTGCCTGGAAGATTTCTTCCAGGTTTTGTCGCGTAATTCATTGTACGAACATCAATAATTGGAACTTTATATATATTCCATAGGTAATCCCTAATGTCGAGTTTATTGACTTTAGGTGGTATTCGAAAAGCAACTTGATTAGGTGGGAGCTTTGGTTCGCGTACAAGTTTAAAAACTATATTGGGAAAATAGATTTTTTTTAGGCCTAGTTCGAACGGTGCTTTTCTCAAGTACTGCATTTACGCGTTGTATTTTTCTTTTTTAAAAAGTATTCACTCGCATCTATGTTAATAAGGCAATCTCTGAATATGAAGTCACGTGTAATCTATAGAAATTATATCTGCCTAGTGGTTTATTAAGGTTAATATAATTAAATAATGCCATTTATTCAATTTTACCGTCTTTTAGGGATTTTGTGGCTATATTTTCTTTAGGTGGAGCATAATTACCAAGAGTCATCTGCACATCTTTAACAATAAATCCGCATTTTTCATAAAATCCAATATTTTTCTGATTACAATTCAAAATAATTTTATAACAGCCAAGTTTTTTACCGATATATTTCAATTGATCAATAATCCTATCAATAATAATAACAAGTTGATTAAAAAAGATTATTTAACATTTGAATAGCTACTATGAGTTATATCTAAAGAAATAACATTCTTGGTCTTACATTAAGCCAAATTTTTTTCCTCTGTGTGAATCATCCACAACGATATCTTCAATAAGTCCAGCCTCAAATAAAAAAATACAAATTAATTTTTGCAAAAAGAGGATAATTATCTTAGTCTAATCAATTTACCTTTGCACAACCTCTCAGAAATTTTAATTCTACTAATAAAGTCCCAAGTCCTACTACTCTATTCGAATCTTTGTCTTCGATAACGACAGTATAATAGTGCCCACTATTTTTCATTGCAATGAAATGCTCTTTAAGAAATCAAAAAAAAATATGATTGCTTAAGTGATTTACTAATGATATTTATTATTATTTTATAAAATATATACTTGAAAACTTCGCCTCTGATACTTCTTCAACGATCGAAAGTTGGCCAAGACAATCTAAAACTCCTTTTTAATTTAAAAATCAAAAATTGAACTATGTAAATTTATTATCAAAAATCAATATTTAAAAATAATTTTTTCAACCTTTATCATAATCTTCTTTAGCAAGTGGTCGAATGATGTAGTTTAACGGTAAAACATTTTGTACTTCATCAGAGATGAGTGACTCTTCAAAAAGATAATCTAACATCTTTAAGCTAAAAAAAAAACCAAATAAAATAATATAGAAGAGTCGATGTTCATCTACTGCAATTCCTACCAATTAAAGACGCGAGTTTCCTGAATCAAAATGACGTCACCCGTTCTTACGTTCTAAATCACTAATTGCATATATAATTAATTCTTTTTCTTGTATATCTTTGTTCGCAATGGCGAGCTCAAAGAAAACTCCAGACATTAGGGCTAGAAAACGGACGGCACAAAATGAAACATCTGTGTCAACCAGCTCAACCACCAGTCTATCAGACCGAAGAAACTTGCAGCCAAGGGGTCTTCCTCCGAAGTAAGTAAAAGGGTTGAGACGTTCGTTCCCATTAAATCTTGCAAAAAAAAACTATCTAACCATTATTTGGTTAGTGATGGTCACTTGCAGGACTTATTTTTCTGGACAATTTGACTTTGAAAACCAGCTGAAAGAAAAACGATCGGCAACAGTTTTCTGCTCTATCTTATTATGTTCAAAGAGGCATCTTTTTGTAATTAATTTATCTCTTTTTTAATATAAATTAAGGGGTCCATATACTGCATCTTTTAGGGTTGCATTTTTGGCATTTTTGCTTGTTAGGATTTTTGCAGCACTATATGCAAATATTGGGGATTGTGATGAGGTAAAAAAAAATAATTATCATTTCATTAGATTCGAAAAAAATATCTTTTCAATCTTTTATCAAAACCAAAAAAATTTTTTAGGTCTATAATTATTGGGAGCCCGCACATTATCTACAATATGGCTACGGCATGCAAACATGGGAGTATTCTCCTGAATATTCCATTCGAAGTTGGGCCTATATCGCTCCTCACGCCTATCTCGGAATGCTAATAAGCTTTTTGATCAGAACTGATGATAAGGTTATATTCCTTAATTTTTTCATACCATCAAATATGTCACATGTTATGCTAAAATGTATTTTTTAATTAATATTCAGATCAAAGTGTTTTATGGGATCCGTGTCATCTTTGCAGTATTTTCTGCATTTTGCGAAGCTAAATTCTATCGTGCTGTTCTTGATCAACTAGGAAATCGTGTAGGACGTTACATATTTGTAATGTTACTTTCAGCTGCAGGCATGTGGAATGCATCAACTGGTAATGTATCTAATATTTAAAGTTGCTTTATAGAGTTATTATATGTATTCTAACAATAGATAAACCTTAACGTTTTATGAAATAGAATTTCTTCCATCTACTTTTTCAATGTACACTACAATGTTGGCATTTACGTTTGCGCTCGGTCCTGTTTCATCTAAGAATACAAAACGTCCATATAAAGCTATTGGATTATTTGGTCTTGGTGCACTTTTGGCCTGGCCATTTAGTGCAGCTGTTGGCATTCCATTGGTATTTGAGGAATTATTCGTCCGTGGTACAGAAACAAACAAAACCCTTGCTAAAAATATTAATTGGCGAATTCAAAGAATAAAACGAGTGGCTGGTGCTACTATAAATGCATTCTTTATCATAGTAAGAAAAATTAAATTAATTTTTGATATTAGGTATTTTAATTTAACTTAGATAATTTTTTCGATTTAGATTCCAATCGTTTCGATTGATTATATATTTTACAAAAAAATTACCATTGTGCCATTAAACATTATATTATATAATGTTTTTGGTGGTGAAGGTCGTGGCCCAAATTTATATGGTACAGAGCCGTGGTCATATTACTTTGTCAATGGTCTATTGAACTTCAATATTCTTTTTGTATTAGCTTTACTAAGTGTACCTGCTCTGGTATTTATTTGTTAATTTATTTTTATATTGAATATCGCAAATTATTATTAATATTTAATTATTATAAAATTCTTCTAGGCATTAACCTTTTTTGTTGACAATGGGCGCATAGCGTCCGCTTCCCCTACTGATAAGAATTACCCTTACATAATTGTCCTTTTACGATTGATTCCGTTCTATCTTTGGTTTTTTATTTTTATTGCCCAACCACATAAGGAAGAACGATTTCTTTCTGTTGTTTATCCTTTAATTTGTTTGAATGCCGCTGTATGTCTTTTTCTTGCTAGAGGGTGGGTTGATAGATTCTTATTTGAATTAAGCTGTTTTTCGATAGCACGCGTAAGTTATTCTTATCTCTCATATTTAGTATTTTTCTCAAAGTTGAAAAAAATATTAATCAAATCTCTTTACCTCAGAATCGACGGAAACAATTATTGACCAGTCTTACCTCATTTATTTTACTTTCATCTGTTGTCATTTCAGTATCACGTGTTATGGCACTTTATTCAAATTATCACGCGCCAATTTTGATATATAAGCATTTGTACCAAGTAGAAATTCCAACTCGAAATCTTTCAAGCCTTAATTCAGATAAAAAGATTAATTTATGCCTTGGAAAAGAATGGCATAGATTTCCAAGTCATTATTTTTTGCCTCATGGAGTAAGATTGAGATTTGTGCAATCAGACTTTAGAGGGTTATTGCCAAAGTATTTTTTGGAAAAGGAAGATATTGTAAATGAAGAGAGTTTAGCACAAAATTCCCGAGTGCCAATTGGAGCCTGGAAGTTGCCAGATGGGTTTAACGATCGAAATCAAGAAAATTCTGAGCATTACGATGTATGTTTTAAATATTTTTTATTTTATAAATTTAATTATTAAAACTTATTTTACATTCTTCTTTATTTTGCAGAAAAATATCGACAGATGCGATTATCTTATAGATCTTGATTTTCAATCATCTGAATCGACCCCTCGTGAATCTCGTTATATTAAAAATACTGAAGAATGGTCAAAAGTTACTTGCATACCATTTTTAGATGCTAATAATTCTAAAAAATATGCACGTGCTTTCTACTTACCAATGTGGTTCTGGGAAAAATGGACAAAGTATTCAACACACCAATTACCATTGCAATGGGGAGATTATTGTCTTCTGAAGAAACAACCGCCTAAGGCTAAATTACCAGAATATAAAGAACCTGAATCTTTTGAAGAGCCTAGTTCAAGTGGTTTCTTTAAAAACATTTGGCCATACTTATAGGTATATGCTTTCTTCTCTGTGCTTCAAAACAATTTAATAATAACGATTATATTTAATTAGAAAAACTGACGAATTTTTATAAATCAATAATTAAATATTTTGTACAGATATTTACTATTTTTTTTTCAATTCTGATTTATTGATTACTTGTAAATAATATATATTCTTTTGATATTTAGATTATTATATAAATAAAGTTGTTTTTATAATTAATAAATTTTTTTTGGATACATCAAAGTTTGATTTATAGTAAATTGCATAATATTGTAAAATATTATTGTATAATTAACTTTCTTTATAGTTATATTATTAGATCCAATAGTAATTTTTTATGCATGTAATTATAATGGAATTTATAATAAATTTGCTTTTATTATAGCTGGTTCTTGAAAAAAAGTATAATTCAAAATTATTTTGATTATTTAAGATAAAAAGATAAATAAATATAAATAAATAAAATAAAATAATTAATTAATTAATATAAAATTATATAAAATAAGAATAATATAATAATAATAAAAAAATAATATAATGACAAAAAATTATTAATAAAATATAATAAAAATATGAAATTCTTTATAAAAAAGTTTTTAATTTTACTAATAAATATTTTTTATTTTTATATCAAAATAAAGATAATATTATATATATATTTTTCAAATATTTTAGATTTAATTTGACAAAATTGTTCTGACCATATATAAAGTCAATAATTTTTTATATATTTTTATTATAAAAAAATTATTGACTTTATATATAATTAAAATAATTTTATCAAATTAAATTTAAAATATATAATATTATTTTCATTTTAATATAAAAATAAAAAAATTTATTAGTAAAATTAAAAACTTTATATAAAGAAAAAAACTTGTATTTTTTATTTTTATTATAGTACAAATAGCTTAAAAATATCAAATTCTGTGCTATTGCTGAATTTTTTAAAAAATTATCATTTTCAAATAAGTTATTATATATAATACTAAAAAAAATTATCATTTTTAAATAAGTTATTATATATAATATTAATTAGTATTTATATAAAAAATGATCATATAATTTTATATAATGAAATCTAATCAATTAAAATAATGTATATAATATTTTAAATGCTGAAAATCTTACTATTGTTATTAAAATTAATATTAAAAAAATTTAATTACAAATAATTTTTATAATAGAAATAAATAAAAAATATATAATATTATAAATTATATTAAAAATTATTTAAAATATAATTATTTTAATGATTATATATTTAAAATAAAATTTTTTATAATTTAAAGTATTTGATATCTTTAGATTACTCATATTATATATTATATGATAATTTTTTTTATTGTTATATTATTTTTAATTGTTACTATATAATTATATTTTTATTATTAATTATAATAATTATTATATAATTTCATATATTTTAAATGAATTTTTGTAAAATTGTACCTAAAAAACTAAATTTTGAATATATATATATATAAAATATATAATATAAAAAACAAGTTTATCTAATATTACAAATATATTTAAATTAATAAAATTTTGTGTAAATTTATACTAAAAATTGTGAATTAAAATATTTAAAAATTAAGAAAATATAAAAATACATATTATCTAAACATTCAATCAATTTATAACAAACAGATTATTTAAAAATATGTCTTCAAAGATGATGTTTGAATATCTAATTTAGGAGAAAAAATATTAAAATTAATCACTATTATTACTGTTTCCGTTGGTTTATTAACTTTCAAGTATAGATCACGTGTTCTTCATGTATCTCAATTAAATGGGAGAGTTATTAAAGACTTTTTATATATTAAAGTAATTAAGGTTGGGAGAGTTTAATTTAATAAAGATAGGTAATGACGTGTTTATTTTGTTGAACTGCTAGAATGAGTTCAGAAACCTTCTTTTAATTCAAATAGTTTAATTGTTAAGTAATCTTCTTTTATTGATTAACTTTTATTAAAATTATCTTCTTTT